AAAGATGCATTCGGGGTTTTAAATATGGTGATTTTGTAGCATGTAATGCGCAAGACAAAGCTAACATGCTTGCCGATCATTTTGCGAAATCTTTCTCAAAAGATGATGGAATAATTCCTTACTTCTCGTCGTCATTCACATCAACTATGAAAGATCTGCCATGGTTTCTATGCAGATCAACTATACGAGCGGATTATGAGTTGGCCTAAGTCCTCCTCTGTAACCCCGGCTTCATTCCATTGATCTTCATTCAGAAGGTGGCTGATGTTATCTGTGGACCACTTGCGTACATATTCAACCAATCGCTGATGATGGGGGAGGTTCCTGATCGTTGGAAACACTCTTTCGTCACCCCAGTGCTTAAGAAGGATCCCGCCACGGACCCTGCGAATTATCGACCTGTTAGTATTACGTCTTTATTTTGTAGACTGTTTGAAAAAACGACTTAAGACGCATATTCTAAGGTATGCTGCTGACAACAAAATCATTCCTAGGGCCCAGCATGGTTTCATTCCGGGGCGATCAGTGGAAACGAATATGATAGAAAGCCTTGAGGATTGGACCTCAGCGATTGACAACAATTACTGCTGTGATGTCATATATTTTGACTTTGCTAAAGCCTTCGACAGAGTGTCCCACAGAAAGTTGCTTTATAAGCTAGAGGTGCTGGGATTTCATCCAACTCTTATCAAATGGATAACCAATTTCCTTCTGGCCGGACCTTACAGGTTCGAGTTGGCCAAGCTTACTCTGGCAGTAGAGAAGTGTTGAGTGGAGTACCGCAAGGGGGAGTTCTTTCACCAGTGCTTTTCTGTATTTACACTGCAGAGATACCTCGTTTGTTTGATGGGCTGGACGTTACAACTAAGATGTATGCTGATGATGTGAAAATCTATAAAGTTATCACTGAAAGAAGGATAAGGAGGGGCTGCAAAAGGCTATTACTTCGTTAAGTGATTGGGCAAAGCGGTGGCAACTACCCTTGGCCCCACACAAAACGATGTGTATGACGATTGGAAAGAGCCCTGAGTTTTCCTCCAATCCTTATATTGTTGATGGGGTTACTATCTCTCCCGTCAACTATGTAGAGATCTGGGGTTCCATTACAGCAAGACTCTTGACTTCTCTAAGCACATTCGAACGCGTTGCAATCTAGCTCTCTTGCGTACGTCGCATATCTTTAAGGGACTTTCATCCACGAATAAATCTATCCTTCTGAAGGCTTATAAACTTATGTTCGTCCGTTGGTGGAGGCAGGTTCTGCAGTGTTCTACCCCACCAAGAGAAAGGACATTGAGGCAATTGAGAAGGTACAAAATAATTTCACTCGTAAAATCCTTTTCCGGTGTAGGTGTTTCTTGTATTCCAGGATTCCGAAAGCGTCTATTCGCAATAAATACTTGGGACTCTTACACTTGAGTCACGGCGCAGAGTATTTGATGTATGCATGGTTTACAAACTTCTCTATCATCGGAACCAGTTCGGTTCTTTTGATGTTTATAAGATGGCGCATTCTTGTACCAGAGGGGGATATACAAAAATAGTTTTACCTGGGCCTAGAACCAACATAAGGGCCACTAGTTTCACGTACAGGGCTGCCAGTCTTTACAAAAAGGTAACAAAGAATATGGTCATTCCTGGCTCCCTGGATGGATTCAAGCGTAAGATGGCTGCAATTCTATCTGAATATGAAATTTCATAGTTCCTTGAGGTAAACCGCTTCTATTCATGTTTCATGCTTGTGCGAAGCTTTATTTTTTTTCGCTCGTAGTGTTTCGGTGTTTTAAATTCCTGGCTTTATATTGTACAATTTCATAGAGTCATTGTTTGTACTCGTTTTCGTTCGGCCACTAACGTTGTTGTATGGTATTGTTTGTTCTTTTACTACGTATGCCTCAGCAACGTAATAAACATAAGATAACAACGTGTAGCAGTGAAGGTTCTACTATCACCACGAAGACTACAGCGGAATTCAAATTTTAGCTTCCTTATCGACCGTTATCGGTTGTTATCACTTTTGATCATCCACTATCCGTGTTCCCGTCCCATCCCCTATACCACATGTGAGAGCCAAGGTTCCAATGTAACCGCGAGGGCCGCAACGAAACTGGTGGTATCCACACTTTGACGCCCTTATCAGTTCTTATCAGTTACTGCCACTTTCCTTCATTCACCTCGGCCTGAACTGTGTACTAATATCGGTGACATCAACATTTCGGCATTCGTTATCAGCTCCTATCAGTAGTTATCACTTCCCGCCACCCATCATCAGTGTTCACGTCTAGCCTCCTGTATATCCTAGAAGTTTCGAGTGCTCCGGGACCAGAGAGAGTGGATTTATGAGTTTACGGTCACAAGATCTCTCGAAGCTTGATATGCAGTTTCTATTGCGATAGTGAAACATTTCGAGGATATTTGCAGTCGCACTCGCCTTACCTCGTCTCCAGAGACACGTAAAATGTTACTTATGCAAATCATGAGCAAAATGTACGTGTATGTTTTGTACTCCTTGAGACAGCCCTCCTTCACTATTCCCTTGAACCACCTGACGCTGTATTCGTCGCTCTGTTGCATATTGTTAGCATAGGAGCTGAAGGCGGATTCTGCTATGAGAAGGCAGCCCAGTCGAAATAAAAAGATGGTCAGTGACGCACGAAGGAAGGAAAAACCGAGCATTGGTGTGACTCTCATCGGTGCTGTTCTCTTCACGGCTAACGCTCCCTCTGCTGAACGACTAGATATTCAGACACGAGACGACGCGAGATGAGGGGGGGGGGGCGTGCCGGGCTAATAGCGCGCCAAATGGGCCGCGGGGAAGACCATGGGCTAGATCGCCGGGGCATATTCTTTGATGCAAAATGAGTGTGTCCTTACCTTAGGGGGGCCCGCCTGTTCTCCACTAGGTAAGTTTTCCCTCATTCGACCTTCGTTCTTATCGTGGAATCCTCCTTCGAGGTCGGCTAGCCTATGACCTAACAGGCCGGAGGAGGTCCATCAGTTACTGCAAGCCATGAGAATTTCTACATTGCATGTCACGATTTAATCAAGCACGGGCCGTTTTCTTTGAACAGTGGAGGGTGTAAGGAGAGCAGATAAATGTTCGGAGCCGCACGCACTTTTTGATTTTTTCGGATGTTCAAGCCTTCTATGTGGTAGATTAACATCACAAACATGCGTCCAACTTAGTAGCAGGTTCCCGCAGTTGTGTACACCTATTGCTCGTTCAAAACCATGAATCTAGTCCGACATCCAACCTCCACCCTCACATTGTCTTCGAGGCTCTCGCAATATGCGGAAAAGCTTTTCACTGCTACACAGCACGTTCTTAGTATCTAAAACCAAACACATGCATGGTTGTTATCGTGATCAGCTTGCACTCCTATTTCGGATAATTATGGTTGAAATATAAACTCGAGCGAAATCGCTTTTCAAAGGCAAGTTGGGGCTCAGCCTCACAAAGGAGATCCCTCCCCTTGGTGGAAGTGCCAGGTCCGGTCCGAAACCGTAGAGGTTGCGACAACTTAGCACCTTGAAACACCTCACTAACCATAAGACGTTAGGCATCCACGATTTTGAATCGTCGATCCCTACGAGCTCCTCGTTCGATATCTTCTCTGTGTCATGTCGTTGAGCAGCCGAGCTAGCTTTCAAAAAACAAGAGGAGCGTCAGGTACAGACCATACAACACGAGTGACGGCCTTCAAGTAAATCTAGTTAGGGCTACGGGGCAGCGGTCAACCTTCGCGCGAGTGTTCAGACAGAAAAGTACATACTTTGAGCTTTTCTATGACTAAGCATTCAAAAAAGAGGAAAAAACAGATGCTGAAATAGTGTGCATATGCGAGAGTGCCCAGAGAACACTACAAAGCGGTATGTCACCAAGCCTTCCGGTTCACCAGTGCACTTAGACGTTCTTGAAAGGGAGTACCTCTACGCAGACTTCGCTGTCCGGTCCTCAGACTTCAGTATAGAGTAAGAGGGTTCCCATTATCTGTGCCTCTGGCGATATTTCTGTCGTTTTCTCTTCTTTGGATCGATTTCGCACCACTATAGTCTTCGAAACATTACAAAAACGGCAATAATTGCTTGAGAACAAAAGTGAAACGTCAAAGATAGAACGAGAAACGCGCCTCAAAATTATTTGTAAAGTTGCAGCACTTTGCTAAAAACTGATTTAGAACTAATAGAAATAAGGTACTTAATTATCACTTCATTATATAAACCAGAACTTTGGTGTGTCGGTTTGTCGGTGTGTGTGTCGTTCTGTCCGTCCGGACCAACCGCTCACAAAACCAGGGAGTACGAAGGGCAACACTTCGTGATGTTGATGTCATGATCATGATAACACCCACAGCGGCTATATAAACACCGATCGAGCACACTCAGTCTCATTCTACATGGTGCTGCCGTGGCAGCCGGATGAGCGGGGGAGGGTGGAGAGAAAGGGGGAGAGAACATGGCGCTACATGCGCCGGAGAGAAGGGGTATAAGGAGGTATAACACATTCAATAGTGAGGTGGTTAATGGAGTACGTCATGCTGCTATTCCGTGGTTCCTCCCTACCCTGTGATGCGCGCGATAGCGGGCGGAGCAAACCTGGTGAGAATTAAAAGCAGTATGCACTCAAAAGGGCCTCACCAGTAGGTCCACACACATCACCATTTCTCGTGGTGCTGAGCCCACTTTGAGGAGTACCTGATTCAGTTTCGACCCCTTAATTCGATTTCCATTTCACAGTTCAATCTTTATACTACGCTCATTTATGAGTCTCACTCATGACAATGGACTAGCAATGCGATATATTAAAAATGTAGATACATCCAATAACATGCACGAAACTGCGAAGATCATCATCGAAATACATGTGAATTCCTCAATACACATTGTTGTTTGGGAGTGGGAATAATAGTGGTGCGGCAACCGTCAATAGCACGGAGCCGCTGTGTCGGTTATGCAAAAGAGGTAGAACAACAATTTAAAGTCATTGACAGAGAATGGGCTCAATGTTGCGTCCATTGAATACTTTTCAGATCGATACCTTCTTGAACCATTTCCCACAGCGGACTCAACTCTCGCAACCTTTGCACTTCTTTTACGCACAATTCGATGGTGTGCTGGATCTGAAAAAGGCATACCGTAATCTTTTTTTGCATGAAAGAACCGTTAACTAAAATAGTCGACTCCTAATACTTTTTCTAATTGCTGATTTCCACAGTCAATCGCAGTGGGATTGCGGTAAGATTATTATGAAGAATACTCTAAAAAGTAAGCACGGGATTTCGCTTTCTATTGCTAGAACTTTCATCTCAAACTGAAAAATCACAAATTGCAGGAATCAAACGGCCATTTCCCAATGTTCTTGATGCCTCACCAAAATCAATGGCATCTGTGACGAATTTGGAACTTTTGATGTGTTGCTTTTGGCGCTTGCAATACAACTTCATCGCCTGCGCATCGCAAGGCATGATCCCTTTCACCTCTGGTGGGGGTGGGCCCATATGTACTGCTCAGACAAACAGAGGTGAAAACTGCATTAATTGCTCTTGAAAGCCCACCATGAAGATTTAATATGTAGCTCTCTCTCACCTCACTCTCTGTCTGAAGAGCAATACTGCTAAACCACAGCGAGGTGCACTATAGAAGGTCCCCACTACTTCCTTCCCTCACAATCGCCCTGAACGCCACAGCATTACCATGCAGTATAAGCGTTCCCTAACTTCTCCAACGTCTTCAGCGTTCAATAGCTTCCGCCACTACTGAGCTTGATCGGAACGATCTTTCTCGATAGTGATAGTTAAGCCTACACATGACACTGAGGCCTCTTACTTCCTTTTCGGTGGTGAAGCGTCCAATACCAAATCGAATTGAAGAATGAGCTAAGTCTTCTCCAGTTCCGATAGCCCTCAACACGTACGACGGCTCTAACGATGCTGATGTGCAGGCGCTGCCGGAGGACAAAGCAACGGTTTTTAGCGCCATCAATAACGATTCGCCTGAAACAGGTATGTAGGTGAATCGGACGTTGCATTCTACTACAGTAATCATAGACGACCTACACAGAAAAGGAAACGTGCAATTTGTTCTTACCTTCAACATACGCAAATGAAAGATTCACACATCCATGGTATAAATGCTCTGGATCGCCATTGAGGATGATATCTCCCAGTCGCGATCTCACGCCATCAACAAGCATCTTAGAAAGTCGGCGAATATGAGCTGAGTCCATTGCTGAAGAGGCGGAGTGAATTCATGTTTACCACACCATGTAACTAACGATATTATCCAATTAGTACAATAGAAACGAAGGAAACATACCCATTTCATTGTCTGCGATACGACATGCCTCTCCTAACCCAACACAAAGGGGAGCCGGAAGAGTTCCGGACCTGAGCCCACGTTCCTGCCCACCTCCACTCATTTGAGCTTCCAAACGAACTCTCGGTCGTCGACGGACGTACAATGCGCCCACACCTCAAGAGTTCTCCATGGAGCAGTGGATAGTTTGAAATAGCCTCTCTGATCTCTACCAAATACCTTTCGGGCCGTAGATTTTGTGCCCTGATATAGACATCAAGTCAACTTTCAGGTCATTCACATCAATAGGTATTTTGCCCACTGCTTGAGCGGCATCTGTGTGGAAGGCAACTTTTCGTTCTCGACATATTTCTCCTAGAACCGTAAATGTATAATAAAAAAATGCGATGTATCCAGAAAGTGAAAGGACTACTTACCAATTTCCTTAATTGGCTGAATCACACCAATTTCATTGTTCACTGACATTGCGGATACCAGGCATGTTTGGGGCGTGATAGAATCTTCGAGGGCCTGAAGCCTTTTATTAGAAACTATTTTCATGTACAAAACACTGAACTACATATCAAAATAAGAAAATGTTATTCCTTCCTAAAATCCACATTCCTCTTTTGAAGGGTATCGTCACTACTACATTACTCCACCAGTAACGGAGAAATCCTGAGCTGGCCGCTCGCAATTCAGCTTATCCCGCAACTTCAAAAACCTTTAGATAACCTTGACGGTTAAAAATCGGTCACACCTTCAAATCAACACGGCCTCCTTGATCCACTGGAAGATACGTCACCTTGAAACCTTCTGTTTCCAGTGAGCGACAAGAATCCAGTACACATTTGTGCTCCTGGAATGAACCAAATAACTTTTTTTCAGAGACGGCAAAAATGAGTGTAAGTGCTTTAGCAACATGTGCTGCTGATTACCACGCGCATGATTCGTGAAACAATTGATGAAGCGAGTCTCGGTTTTGATAACAAAGCCTCCCACCACTCCAGGGTCATTGGATTGCCAGACTTGTTCTAACACCTACAACATTATATGGACAGATAATCTCAAATACCACTGCGATCAGGATTTAGAGTGTGGGTGCATCCCGAAAACTGATCAACGCCAGAAGCTTTATCCTTTCCGCTCAATCCCTCGAAAACACTCCACCTCACTTCGAATTCGGAAGCAACTACCTTTCACCTATCATAAAATATCAAGCATGTCGTGCCTCACTCTCACCCATACCAACGTTAGCAATGGCGCTCTTCCATTGTAATTGTATGCGGAATGGTTAAAACAAATTGACTTGGAGGGTACGCACATATGCGTAAGATCCAGTCATCCTGTTTTCAAGAGTCTATGCTGAGTGTTTTCATGTAGCGCCGTAATTAGACAGTAAATAAGAAAACTATGTTGGTCAGCAGATTTCATAGCCTCGTCGGGAATGAAATCTTCTCCTCCCCCTCCCCCTCTCAGCCAACATTCTGGAAACTTTAGCAATCTTTGAGGGGGGGGGGGTGCAATATACTCCTTACTCCACTGCGATGTCGCTCCAAGTATCAAGACCTTCATGTATTTCGCGACATAGTTAGGAGGAGATCTTCGGATTGTGATCCTGACTTCTCAGAAAAGCTGAGCAGCCGCTAAGAGAAGTGCCCGCCAAATTCCCATAGTTCGATTTCCGTGTGATATGCAAGCTCGCCGCAATGACACGATACAGTGAAACTTTTTCTGGTGACACACATACGCATTTTCCACTTCGCCCGCATTCCCTCACATTCCTAATCGGCCTTGGTGTGCGAGAGAGCGACAAGGTGTCAGAGCGGATTTGTTGTATGGGCAACCACTCCAGCACACTTTGCTACCCTCACCGTTTGCAATGTGATAACATGGTTTTTTCCTGTATGCCGTTGAAATTTCGCCACTCCTTTGATAGCTATGTTGTTCGATTCTGTAGCACCAGACGTGAAAATCACTTCGCGAGGGTCAGCCTGTAAACGAAAATCTTGCGAAAAGAGTCAGGTCTCGAGAGCAACTAAGAACTGAACCTCTTTACCAAGTGATGAAAACAAACCTTTATCAAAGTTGCAACGTGCGCGCGAGCCTTTTCTACCGCTTCCTCAGCCTTCCATCCATAAGCATGGGTTCTCGAGTGGGGATTTCCGTATTCATTTAACATGTATGGCAACATAGCATCCACAACCCGAGGATCCTAAGCATAGAAATTCTGAAACTGAAAAGATGAGAATAATTATATTCTAAAAATTCGAATCATAGAAATATGTATTTTGATCGTAAGGAATCGGTTAGGATACTCATACGAGGTTTTATTACGATATATGAACTCAGAAATTTGCTTCCTGAAATGCACTCCAAAACTTCCTCGAAGAAATAGCGCTAAGACTTTCCTATGGAATTTCGAAAGGTTGGTTTAATTGGAAACTTGAAACATGAAGAAGTCATATTGAAGGTAACAGTAAGGGTCGAAACTCAGCTTCATCTTTACCGCAGCCTAGTCTCAGAATCCTGAAGCTGCAAAGCTATCAATCACTGATTCAAGAGAGTTCATATGGTATCGAGAAAAAATCTCTATCCTAAGCTGGTTCCTTCTGTTCCCACACTCATCGGCTATTTCCATTTTCTCCCTACCATGGAATTATGCCTGCGTTCTGCAGATTACATGAAGTGTTACCCAGGTTGCCTCCCCATGGCGAGTCTCTTAATTGACCGAATATTAGTTCCACAAATGTAAAACTTAGATTTACCATAGGTGATGTAGCCTGCACATCAAGATATATTGGTGACGGAGTTGCAGGATCAACGGCTGGAGTGGCAAGTTGACGAGCGCAAATGCGCACCACTGAGCTCACACATCTACCCGTCAACATGAGGAACCGAAAAATACTAAAATAAACTGTACTTAGAATACTACTGTTGTGCCTAGCAGTGAAACTCTCCGAAACACTTAGTTCGTTAACGAATGGTGGCTTGATCAGGTGATCAAGGCGGCGCGAAATTCCTCTCAAATCATACTAAGGCAAAGCAAAAACTATCGTTGTGACATGTTTGAATAGAGATGAGCGTGAAACACCAAGATGAATGGCTGTAATCGTTTCTAGAAATCAAATTAATTATTCTCATATCAGTAATTCGCAGCATTACATTGAAGATTCATTCAGAATACATTTCCAAATATATGACAGGGTTGCAAAAACCGATGCCCAAATAATACCAAAGAAGACAATGCACATTTATATCTCCCATACTCCATATGTGGTACAATCCAATCAGCTCGTCATCACAAAGCGAGAAACAAAGATCAGAACAGGAAGCATGAGTAGAAATGGTAAACGAAAATTTCCAGACTTCTTATTATTCTTGGATCGGTGAACACTGAAATCGGCGACATTATTTTGCCATTTACTGCCACTAATTGCAAACGAAGTAGGTGAGCAGGTAACGTTGCGAAGGATGCGGCATAGAGAATAAGTGTACTATGAATCAGCGAACAGACGACTGAAGTCAAAGACGCTGCTAGAGTTGAGGCAGCAGGCACATCAGAACAACGGCGAAAGGATCACAACGTTACAGAAAAACCGGTCTGAAAGCAATGAGCCCAAAAACGTCTTCGATAAAATTGTTTCTAGAAGTCTACTTAACAGTCAACCTACCCACTCACGATGTAGCGGCTACTTGTGGAAGGAGTTCTGAATGATCACTCTTCACCGAAAGTGCGTCACCACTCTGACGTGCAGCTTCGACAACGGGGAAGAAATATGGATGTGCCATTGCCTCCCGAGCTGTTAAACGTTCCTGAACAGGTAGGTATGGCTCATTAAGTGAAAATAAACAGACTCCAAGATGGTCTTCTTGGGAACACTAACCTGATGATCATAACGAAGGAGTTTGTCAAGGAAATCAATGGCTTCTGGAGTGACTAAGTGCTGATTTTCGGCATGAATGAATCTAGATTTTCGTTATACGCACAACTAGAAATTATTATATAATCCAGTATGAAGTATCAAGAAATTACCTCTCCCAACGTTTTCGAGAATGCCTCCCAAGAATATCGTTGAATCTAGGATCCAATTCAATATGATATTTGTCAATGTACTCGTGTAGTTCTTCTGTTCCAAGCACTTTGGCGATGCGAACAAGCTTAAACGATACACCCCTTTGGAGAACATACCAACATGTCTTAGACAAGCGCTCCTATCATAATTGTTATACGGGGCTTCGCACACCGTCAGTGCCGCCACAGTACTAACCTGATCATAGTTATCATGACCGTGGAAAAACGGTTCTTTTCGGAAGATCATACTTGCTAGCATACACCCCAGACTCCACATGTCAAGTGAGTAATCGTAGCACTGGTAATCCACTAGAAGCTCTGGACCCTAAATTTTAACAATTTTTGCGGCGAACATTATTTATTAAACCCATATTTCAGCTGTATCCAATGCAGAGATATGATCATTGCAAATACCTTGTCTAGTTTGTGCGAGTTTGCTGACTAGCAAATAAGAGCTCAACAGTGAACTTGGGCTTCAAATGCTCGATACTTTTTTTTGAAAATTTACAAAGATAAATCGATAAAACAACATTATGCATTTTGCATCATCACCAGAACCACGATTATGAAAGTGCAAAACTAAGAGAAAAGCACGACACAATTAAAGAAAGTCGCCGTTAATCAAAAGTAATAAGCTAAACTTCAAATGGAAGGTAATTTTACCTTGAAATACCGAGAAGCGACCCGCACGTTGTAGTCTTGTTTCGGATGATAAAACTCAGCCAAACCCCAGTCAATTAAGCGCAGCTGAAAAATACCGATTAAGCAAAGTCATCACAGGAAAAACAGCAGCTATATTCATGCTCGTGGATGTTCACAAAATCTCATGGTATCAAAGTTTCCCAGTAAATCAACGCATACCTTGAGAATAGTCATTTAAAGGGCCACAGACAAAAACTGCGTGTCTGAGGAGAGTGATCAAAACACATATGAACCTTCTTCAGTGAGCTTCTCACACGAAAAAAGCATCTGTTCGCGATGTAAACAATATCGTTCCTTGAGAATTAGACTTTGATGTATGAGTCTCTGATGTGTGCTTTAGTGCCACTGCATTGGTGAAGAGGCAACTCTCCTATTAAAGCCATGTCGTCAACGTCCATCAGAATTGATTTGAAACTCGGATGTGTGTAATCGCGTCGAACCATTCAACGTTTGACTAGAGGTTGATGTCAACAACACGGTGAGACTGAGGTCGAAATCAATGCTAGGGATCATATGCAATGGAAGTCCTCAAGAATCTGCACAAAGCATGTAAATTAACAAGCTTCCTAGGAGTCCTGAGCTGACGCTCACACAGTCTATTGAGCAGTTTGTTAAAAGCGCTACAGGGTTCAGTTGCCTCAACGGTGCGGATGCAAGGTGACCGAATACCAGTGATGGAACTGTAGTTATCACACGATCATTACAACATTATTTAGTAATACACAGCTAAATAATTTCCGCTTATTTCTGCAATCACGTGAAAGCCGTGACATAGACGGCTCCCGTCCAGCTGGGAGTAGAAGAGCATGATATCGATTGGCGGTGAAAGAACTATCACGAAGAGCAGCAAATAAAAGGGGAAAGGACACTGCTAATAAGAACTCGGAGGAAACCAGCATTAGGTGGAGTATGCGAAGACGAAATGAAATAGAGGTGTCAGACAAAAGCAATGACTTAGACCCTTAGATGATGCAGGGCTAGCCTGAGGGAAAAGAAGAATTGACCGCCGGAATTTTCTTGAAAGAAGAAAAACTTGAGCTCCTACTATACTAAAAATTATTTGAATTGAGGCTGATTTTTCGATAAAGACGTTTGTATCTTAACTCGAATGCATGCGGAGGCCACGTGCCGGGCGCTTCAATTGAGCCTTCGCAAAAGGATGGGACTAGCACGTGCGCAGGTCAACCGGTGAGATAAACGCCGCTTGAGGGCACGTGTTACACATGTCACGGTCTGAGTCATCGTGACGGAAAATAAAAAAATGTGATGTTTCGATCAGTAATGATGACAGCAAGAACAGGACTGTCGTGAACCCTTGAAACTATGTCCCACGCTTAGACCGTCGCCGAGTGTGACGTTGGTCTTATCATTTGGGTAGACGCACCACAGTGCCTCTCTATTAACGAGCCACCGGAGTCAAAACCAGTAACATGGCACAGTGCTGCATTTTTCGCCTTCAACACGATCAGTTTAAATGTGCTTGCAGTGGTTACTGACAAATTTCAAATTTTCCCATCACTACAGTCGAGATTACCAAATTTACTCTCTCTTTCGACCCTCAATAACCCATCTAAGCAACCGTGCAATGTGTTTATAGAAGCAACACTTGTCTCCTTTGATAACGATCTCACCAAAATAATCTGTAATTATCACACCTGTTTCTTTTCATGGTCGATCATCACGTTGTGAGGTTTTACATCTCTATGCATTATTCCTTGGGAATGACAATAATCCAAAGCCTGAACGCAATCAAAATAAAATTTTCTTCAACACATAGCTTGAACAAATTTAGATAAAAAGTTCAAAACGTCATCTGTTAGCTGTAAGTAACAGCAAACCTCATAAAATCATTGAAATACAGAAATAAACAAGGCAAACAAAAAGCATCTAATCTGTTTGGTTCACCTTCAGTAGTTCATACAGATAGTAGCGAATATCCAAATCACTAAGAGTGCCGTATAACTGCTTGAAATCCGAATTGTTTACATATCTAAAAACAAAAAAATGTGAACTTTTACGAACAAAAATGTGGCCGACTTAAACTTGTAAGCACAGTGGTAACGTACTCAAAGATCAAGGCTGGTGTGCGTGATATGGGATCTTTTACCACATCCAGTAAGGTGATGACATTGGTTCCACCACGAAGGTTTTCGAGAATTTTGATTTCTCGCTTGATCTTCTTCTTTTTTACAGGCTACAACACCAAATTAAGAGAACAAATATCACTAACTTCACGCAAAAATAACGCCTACTTTCAGTATTTTCACAACGACTTTCTCGTCCGTAGTAACCTTCACACCTTCGAATACCTAAAAGTATAAACATATCAATAAATCTTGCATAGGAAGACTTCCTAAACCCTCTCTCATAGTCGGTCGTTCGGTGGTAACGATCGTAATGGTCGCGTACCATTAGGTGCGTATTGATCATCCGGTCCCCTGTAACGTCCAACGATCGATGCGTACCTAATGCTGCGTGATCGCTACCATCGGATGACCCACTATAGAGCGCCCTGAGAGTGGTAATTAGCCGTCATCCTCAAGATGATAATAAAAGGAAAATGCTCAAATACTTATTCATTATGCTCAGCACATTTCCCACGTTCCTTCAAGTAAGAGCGAGATATGAACATTTGCTTTCCAGACTCTGATCCCGTAGTGATTCAGATCTGGCGCCAGCTTTATTTGGTATGCAGAAAAGAGGACGGTACATATCGCTATCAAGCGGAGCTATTTGATATTGCAGTATCTGATCTCATCGAACACATCTCATTACAAACTATTTCCATTCCAAATCACTTTGAACTCTCATAGATTCATCGTCACAACGACACCGGACAACATTTCGTCAGTCGGACTTGGGATTCTTCCTCATCACACATAGGGTGTGGAGGTCTACAGTCGATATCCGAAGTTGGGGTGGGTGTGTCACCGGAAGTGACGTGCACTTGATAGAAGTTGCGTGGATAAGCTGTTGCCAGCATGCTTTGCTGATATCCAGCGATGTATGTTGGAAGCAGCTTATCCACAACTTCTATCAAGTACACGTCACTTCCGGCGACATAGCCACCCCAACTTGGGTGCGGTTCACCAGGACAGAAAGGGACTTCTTCGCGTTTAGCAGCGCGAAACACTGATCGTTGCAGCAGGGTCAACCCTACGTTGTTACGAGTAACAACGGGGGGTCGTACTCAGTTGAGCTTGGAGGGAGGGGGGTCGTACCCTCTCGGTGGCCGACAGTGGGATTCTTGGTAATATCGGATAATAGCCAGCACGTTACGTTTTCGTAAGATGACTGATACTAGAGCATCTATAAACCACGCTTCCCTCTAAATGAGCTTTCAAATGAATCAGCGAATTAGAAGGGCGCCCGAGGCGTGGCGCGCACCAAGGCAAGGGATGTAGTGCAAGCGCATGCTCGAAGCTTTCTAGCACATCCTAATTAAACATGACATTGGTCTTCCAAGAAGTTACGGGCAGTGAAACCTAAGAAAACCCGCGTTTTCGGAAAATGGCTTGAAGAATACCCCTCAAAAAAGTAACAACGGGACTAATTTTTGAACTGCTGACTTTTCAGGAACGTTTGGGTGCTCGTTAGAAAGCTTGAATCCTGTAGTTTATTATACGTGTTCAGCTTCCCAAATGACTTTGAAGGAAGTTATGATCGTTTGAAGGTCAAAAAGTCGCTTTGCACAGAAAAAAGTAACAACGTACTAAATTTTTATTAAATTAACTTTCGAAGAATTTTTACCCATGGTTGGAGAGAGAATAATTTGAATTTTCCAAATCAAATCACTTCGGCGCAGAAGCTCGAATATGAAGGAAGTTATAGCCTTAGAAAGAGGGGTGTAAAAATTGTGTTGCAATTGAAGAACGTGAAGGATTTCAGTATTTCAATTGGAGCGATAATTTTTTCTGACTTCTCATAAGTTTTTATCAGGTAATATTGTCAATATTCCGGTCACTGGTTCAGTTTATTTCATCTCCTAGTTTGGTAACCCTTTGGAGTACACGGATATCTTTGAATGCATCTCATTTTTTCGTGTTTGGAAGCAGCGATGAATATCTGTCGTGGATTTTGCTAAAGTTTCATCTTTGATGACTTACGTAGAAATAAATATTGATGGTAAACACTGTCTCTACACAAGTGTCACATACAAGGGGGTCGTATCAAATCACCCATGAAGGGGGGGGGGTCGTAAAAAATTTCCAAAGAGTAACAACGATAGGGTTGACCCTGCGTTGCAGAGATCTCGGGTCCGCTGATGGTTCGCTGCGGGAACCTCGGGGCAGAGAAAAATGTTTCGCGCTGCGGAAGGCGAAAACTCGCTTTCTGTCCTAGTGAACTACACGGTTGAATATCTTTTGGAAAAAATGTGCCTTTGTTTCAGAAACATAAAACGATGTACCTCTGAGTACTTTCCACGTCCAAGTTTTCGAACGAGCTGGTAATCATCAATATTTCCCCATTCGATGACGTGTGATTCATAGTCCCAGTATTCTCGCGGTTTCGAGGGGTTGACCTGCGCACAATGTTATGTAGTGAAGTGTTTCTCATAACGGCATCAAGGCTTTAACTCAAGACTTACATCCGCATACACCCTAGCCTTGCTAGGTATGGGAGCCATGCCGGCACGAGGACCGCGAAGCTCGCGAGCTGAAATAAAACGTAGTGGTTTCGTATGTTTTTCTGTGCTGCACAAGAAAGAACAATAGGAAACGGAACATCAGGAAAATCATTTCGAGGAAATTCACAGCCCCTACTGTCTAATTTATTGGAAATAAAACAAGAAGTAACGTCGAATAGTGGTTAGTTTAGAGTTGGAAAATGTCCCTTCAATTCCTGGCGTCCAAAACTAACAAGAGTAAGAACACCAGTGCTCAGCACCTCCTCTGAAATTTAGTGAAAACTAAACCATGTTTCATGATTGGCGATCATACAATTTACGGATGATGCAGCATCTTTCTACCAAGCTTTCAAAAAGGCAATCCGTCACACCCGCCCGGCTCCCGAGGTGGGCAGCGCCGGAAATTACGGTCGTTCCTCCGGGACCTCAGCACACGAGGCAGTGCACGTCCTTTAATAACAGCTGAATGTCATCGTTCCGCGTTTGAGGCGTATTCCTTTTGCTTCTTTGGGCTTATTTAGAACTGTGCTGGAACTTCCATGCTTTTTTCAATCTGAAAACATTTAGTCAACATGCTGATAAGGTCATTTCTTTCGTTACGACTAGGACTGGCAGTTGGCAAACCTTTGCAGGCTACGCGAGTGAGTATCACTTTTCGATAAAGGATGGTAATAACTTTATAAGCCATACTGGTTGATCTTTCTTTTTTTTTCAGAGCACTTGGGTCCTTCGGCGGGTGTATGCTCCTGATCCTACACCTTCTGGGCGAGTACAACGAAATCCAGAGGAGCTACCAAATTTAATGAAGCTAGAAGTTGTTGAAATGGAAACCAATAAGTCGGCAGGACCTCTTAAGGTCATTCTCCTACAAGACGTTGAAGGTATGTCCTTCAAGGATCTTGAAGGGGGATAGGGTGCTAACTTAGTTGGGGGGGGGGCCACGCGGCGGCGCGGCAGTCTGCTCGCCTGGCATGTTCGGAAATCCGTGGGCCAGGGGGAGTGTAGGCAGTCTAGGGGGGGGGGGTGGGGGCAGTCACTTGACATGCGTGAAAAGCTGGAATGTTCGAGTTTACACTGTCTCGCTCGAGAGAGCCCAGGTGAGCAGACTGCCGCGCCGCCGCGTGGCCCCCCCCAACTAAGTTAGCACCCAGA